CTGAATGAGCGTAGAAGTCACGTCGGACTTCTTTGCCAGAGGAAACACGGTGGTGTAGCGAGAGTAGTCGTCAACGACCACCAGAAAGAAACTCTCTCGCTCAGGGCCAGAGCGAGAGGCGGGGCCCCAGACGTCCAAGTGGAGAGTCTCGAAGGGCTCGGTGTCCGGACGAAGGGAGGAGGAGTGAGGGGTGGCGCGCAGCCGACCCTCGACGCAAGGGGCGCAAGGTGGTGCAAGCGAAGGTGGCAGCGACGGCAAGACTCGCGGGAGGCCTAAGACGAGACGCTGACTAGACATAGTGCACAGGCGAGGAATGGACGGGTGACGAAGGCGGTGGTGGTACAGAACAGTGCGGTGGGCAAGCGACCGACACGAACAAGACGCAGCAACCGGACTAGACGCTGGAACCTGACCAGACACAGCTACCTGGTGGGAGGCGGCAACCTGGTGAGACGCGGGGACCTGACGGGGGGCAGTGACAGGGGTCGGAGGTAGCTGCTGCTGCTGTTGCTGCTGCTGCTGCCTCTCTCGGGGGCCAGCGTGAAGTGTGTAGAGACCAGAGCCCGGCTCAGCGTGAAAGGTGGCCAGGGGCGCGTACGTGTCACCGTCTACACAGGTCGCAGAGTCCCCAGAAGGCTCAAACCAAACACCCATGTGACTACCCACGAGCGGTCTCACACCCACCAAGTTCCTGGAGAACGAGGGGACGTGAAAGCCGGTAAGGAAACCCGAGGGAACAGCCGGGCACGGAAGCGTAGTAGTGTAGCGAGCAGTGACTGGTCCCGAAGTGGGATCAGCCAGTGCTACGGAGACTGGTGCAGGAAGCGGAGTAAGAGTCGTGTGGTCGCGGAAGAAACAGTGCGAAGCTCCGGAGTTCAGGATGAAAGACAGTGAAGCGTCCTCCGGAGCAGCACCTGGACTAGGACCTAAGCAAGTACCTACACTAGCAACTGGCACAGGATCGACACTAGCACCTAAGCTAAAAACATGCGAGTAAACAGAGTCAGGAGCACTAGAGTCAACAACAACATACATAGCATGAGGAGTTTCTAAGAGATCAAGCAGCTGAGAAGCAGACATTGCCCACAGAGCAGCACCGTGCGAGTGAACAAGAGGAAGCCAGTCAGGGGCAGGACCGTCGACGCCGTAGGCCGCGCGAAGAGTGTCAGTGAGCTGAGCAAAGCACTGACCCGGTAGGTGGCGGCGGTCACAGCGGAAGCCGCTGCGAGTACCTGTCTGAATTATCTAGGGGCAGGGAGGGTGGGCGTCACCACGCGACAGCTGACGCGGTCCTGACCCCTGCTACTGCCCCTGCTGCTGCCCCTGGTGCTGCTGTGGCCGCTGCGAGAGGATTGGATGCTGCTGCTGCTGCTGTCGCTGAGCCAGGTACCAAGCCGCCACTCCAGCACCTGCAGCTGGCAGTCTTGCAGGTGCCCGACTAACCCGAGCGGCACCTCCACTAGCCGCAGTAGGGGAGTCACTAGACGCGGCACCAGGCGCTCCACCAACTCCTGCACTCCCACCACCGCCGTTCGCAACGCTACCTCCGCCGCCTCCGCTGCCGCCCGCACCCTGGCCGCCCCTCCTGCCACTCCGAGCTTTAGACCGCACAGAAGTCGTAACAGCAGCTGCGGTCACGTCAGTAGCGGCAGTGGCGAGGGAGGCAGTAAAGGTGGGCAGCTGAGGGACAATGCACCCGTGGAACAGTGGCGGGGGCACAGCACCAGAGGCGGAAGCTACCGAGCGGAGGTTGCTCTCGACGTCCTTGAGGGCAGACTCAAGAACGCCGATAGTGAGCTCGCAAGGGTGCTTCAGAAGAAGCGCGTCACGAACCGAGGCAAGGCGGTCGGGGAGGCTAGTGGCGATGAAATAGATAGTAATCGCCATGGGGGGGGGGGGGGGAGAGCAGTGCAAGTTGTGCGTCAGTGCAGGCAGCGCGGTAGCTAGAATCCAGTGAACGCAGGTGAGCGATCAAGTCAGCAGAGTGCTCAAACGAGGCGAGGTCAGGAAACAGGAAGGGGAGGAACAGGCGACCAAGAGAGACAGTGGTGGGAGTAGCGTAGCGGGCCTTGATCGCCGTCAGGAACTCACTAGCCGTGCGAACCTGGGTGAAGTGGGTCTCCTCAGACTCAGGGAGGAGGCTGCTGAGGGTAATGCAGGCCGCAGCGTCGCGCGACCTCCAGGCTGTCAGCGCAGCACGCTGACGTGCAACACGATCTCTGTCCGCAGTGGTGGCGTCAGCGCCTAAGGAATCAGAATCGGGGGGCGCACGGAGGTCACCGGAAGCGTGCGCCCACAGGGACTCGTCTGCCTGAACCTGACTCTCTAGGAGGCGCTGCGCACGCAGGAGCCAGACAGAGAACTCGAGCGGCCTACCCTCGGCGTCAAAACGGAGGACTCTAGGCGGCGCCATAGCGGAAGCGTGGAGAAATCGTCTAGAAGGACGAAATAGGGCGCGGCAAGCAGTGCGGTACGGGACGAGAAGGGAGGACGTAACGGGACGGGCACGGCTCGGCGGAAAGGGCAGGCACGGTGCGATCGGACGGGCAGGGCGCAGGGCGCGACGTGCAGGGCGCAACAGGTGCGGACGTGCAGGGCGCAACGGGCGCGACGGGCAGGGCGCAACGGGCGCGACGGGCAGGGCACAACGGGCGTGGACGGGCAGGGGGCAACGTGCGCGACAAGCAGGGCGCAAAAGGCGCGGACGTGCAGGGCGTGACGCGCGCGCGGACGGGCAGGGCGTAGCGCGCGCTGACGGGCAGGGCGTAACGCGCGCGGACGGGCGGACGGGCAGGGCGTAACGCATGCAGCCGGGCAGGGCGCAGGGCGTGACGGGCGGGCACGGGACGGGACAGGCGCGACGCGACGCGACGGGACGGGACGGGACGGGCAGACGCGACGCGATGGGACTGGACAGACGGGCGCGACGCGACCGGCAGGCGCGACGCGACGGGACGGGACAGGCAAGCGCGACAGGCGCTAGGGGACGGTATGGGTGCAACGGTAGAGCCATGATTGACCTAGGTGATACCATGTCAGAAACTGAAGTGATGATTTACTATTGTGGATTGGGGTACATAAACCTAACCCTAACTGCTGTACCCCATATGACACGCATCACTAAAGGCTACATCAATTGACAGTGTAGTATGACTGGTTGGCATTTTGAATCTGGCTTTGTACAGGTCCTTGCAAAGCATTGGCATTGGCGTGAATCTGAGGGTTACTTAATATGGTCGCATTTGACACCAGTCGTATTTTGAGTCGACTCAAAACACGACTCCTTGCAAAGCATTGGCATTGGCGTGAATCTGAGGGATACTACCGTCATGCCCCGGATATACCCCCAGGTGGGGGTATAAAAAAACCTGGAAAAATGGTGGGTGGGCTTAGGGCGTGTTCCTACGGCCTCATATCAGAAAACCTGATATCAAGAATGTACCTTTTGCCTGGTAAAACTAGCGAGAGGTTTCGGGTTTAGGGGAATTTTCAGTGTGAGCCTGATACGAGGTTGTCTTGATACGAGGATAGGAACACGCCCTTATAATGTGGTTTTTTATATAACCCCATGGGGGAAATAAATGTCACTTAGAGAAATATGATTTTAAAACATAGAATTGTAGATCTCAGCAAACAGTTTGCTTCGAAATTAACCGAGAATCTGCCACCCTGGCAAAAATCCCTGCCATCATGTGCTGAAATGTTGCTAACACGTGCGCGCCTGTGGCAGTTTCGCCAGGCGGGCCACATAAGACTTCGCCAGGCACGTCAGCGACGATTGCTCCTGACGCGTTAGTGGCGGATCCACTAGAAAAAACAAAGATTTGAGTAAAATTTCATAGGGTGCGCTTATCAGGGCCCTAGATATCAGACTTTGTAGTCTGATTCAGAGTCCGTTCGGACTTTTTTTTTGTACCTATTCTGAAGTCTATGAATATCTTTATGTACCTTGTCTGATTTTTCATAGTTTTGTTTTATGAGTTGTCTGAAATTTCAGCCTAATTTTATTAGTGTAGGCAGAGCCTCAGACGTGTATCCGGGGTACACTCTGAAACCCGTAATAGAGCGGTTTCCGCCAGCCTGGCAGCGTGTAGCACTAACACCGTCAATCACGGGCGGGAAGCCAAAATTTCCCGAGCGCGGCACCGCACACTCCCGAGCAGGGTCCTCGCTAGGTTTTGAACCCCCATGATGCGTCAGATGGGCCCTTCGGGCACACGCTTGCCCTGTCACACCACTTTTGCCCTCGATCGCAGCACTAATTTGCCCTACACACCTGTCAGGGCAAAAATCCGCCCTGTCAGGGAAGAGATTCGCCCTGTACAGAGCGAAGTGCGAAGATTCGCCCTGTCAGGGTGAAGATTCTAACTGTCAGGGCGAAGATTCGCCCTGCCTAGGCAGAGATTCGCCTTGTCAGGGTAGAGATTCGCCTTGTCAGAACTGGAAAACTCGTTATTCTATGTTTCAGTTTAAGACAAAACAGAAATTGTGTTTAACTCTGAACGTTCAGCGTAAAAAACATAGTGTTGTCTGAATTTTCAGCCTGAAAATTGGAGGCAACTCTGACTGACAGAGTTCAGATGGGGGGGCACGCTGATTGATCAGCGTGTCCCAAAACCAATCTAGGGGCCTGGCGCTTATACGAAGATGATCCAAATTTAGGGCGGGGTTATAATCGGCACCCGGCTATAAGCCCACTGGTACGATTATAAGCCCACGGGTGTAACATAGGCCTGGGGGTATATCCGGGGTATGACGGTATTGTCGCATTTGACACCACCACACCACACGCACGACAATGCCCTTTCTACTCGGTGGTGGTGGGTAGGGCCAAACTAAACTGACAGGCAGGCAGTCATCTAGATACACTGCACTGCAGATGCTGTTGTTGCCTCATGCTAGCAAGATGTATCAGGTGCAGGTGCAACTGCAGTGTGTGGCGGCCTGTAGGCAGCTGGGAGGGAAGCTTGCGTTTCGGGTTTACAGTTTCAACGGGGCATTCACGAGGCAGCATGGGGGCCTTGAAGCGGCAGCAGGTGCTTGGCAGAGAGGTTGGCGAGTGAGTCGGCATCGATGCGCGCGTTATTGGGCTGGTAGCCCCCTGGCGACAGGCGGCAGGAGTGAGGAGAGAGGTAGAGGGAGGCATGGTCAGTGGGGGTTTGAGAGAATGGGCAGAGGGAGTGCGGATGGTGCATGATGAGGGAGCAGCTGTGGCAGAGTGTGCTGTGGAATGGCGATGGCAGCAGCAGGACGACGGCAGCAGCAGGGCGATGCATGCAACACCAATAAGGGGATGGAAATCAGCCAACATGATAGTCAACCACAAATGAGCATGAGGGGGAGGGTACCGGAGGTGAGCATGAGGATGGGTATGGAGTGGTTCCTAGCGAACTGGAACACCATCTCATCCCGCCTCTGCACTCCCTCCGCTGACACCTGCTCGCTCGGCCCCGTGCCACACACACATGGATGTGGTCGCGGGAGAGAGAGGGAGGGAGGGAGAGAGAGGGAGAGAGGGAGAGGGATGGAGAGATGGAGTGAGCGAGAGGGAGAGAGATGGAGAGTGAGGGAGAAAGAGCAAGCGAGAGCAAGAGAGGGATGTTGGTTGCATTGCATGCATGGAGGCAGTAAGAGTGAGATGCATGAAACGAGGGGAGTGTGATGAGGAGGTGCAGAAGAGGAAAAGGGGCAACAGGACACCAAGACTCACAGCTGCAAAGTCATCAGCCACTATAACATCTAAAAGAAACGGCCACAGTAGCTTCTTACAGACACACCCACTATATCCTATGACAGCACTTGCTATAGCTTCTTGTAGCAACACCCACTATAGCTTCTAATAAGAACACTTGCTATAGCTTCTAATAAAAACACTTGCTATAGCTTCTTGTAGTAACGCTCACTACAGATTCTTAAAGAAACACCACTACCCCTCTACATACAGCCAAAACCTCTCCATTCCTCCATGCCCCCACCGCCCCTCCTTGCTCCCACCACCCCTCGTGGCACTCACGGCAAGTCTACCGAGAGGGTCGTTGGCGAGAATGTCGGTGCCGGCGTTGTAGATGAGTAGATCCGCGTGGAAGGCTGCTGCTGCCACCTGCCATGGGTGTGGGCTCAGGTCGGGGGAGGGGTGTTGAGAAGAGGGAGGGGGAGGAAGAGAGTAGAGGCTCAGCGCCGAGAATGTCGGTGCCGGCATTGTAGATGAGTAGATCCGCGTGGAAGGCTGCTGCTGCCACCTGCATGTGTGCAGGAGGTGCATGAGTGCCGCGGAGCAGGTGGGGGGAGGGGAGGAGAGACACGAAATATCGGGTCCGGTGAAATGGGGAGAAGGGAGGGGAAGGGAGAGGGAGTGCGGAACGAAAGGGAGTGGGGAGAAGAGGGAGGAGGGGGAAGAGGGTAGAGGGTCAGTGGGGAGAATGGCATGGGAGATGTGGAGACTTGCTGGTGGGCGATGCTCACTGCACTGTGCCCCTCGCCTCCCCCTCGCCTCTCACCACCTCCCATGCCTCTCAACTCCTCCCATGCCTCTCGACTCCTCCCCTGTCTCTCACTTCTCACATCTCCCCTGCCTTTCACCTCCTCCCATGCCGCTCACTTCCTGTGCAACAGCATCAACATACTGCTCCATGCCTGCTATATGCCATTCTACGCGCCTCTCACAATGACAACACATGGCTCTCACCTCCTCCCTTGTCTCTCACCTCCTGCACTGCCTCCCACATCCTGCACTGCCTCTCGCCTCCTGCACTGCCTCCCACATCCTGCACTGCCTCTCGCCTCCTGCACTGCCTCTCGCCTCCTACTGTATCTCACCTCCTGCAGAACCTGCGTCACAGCGTCCAGGTACTGTGTTGTGCCCGTGCCACTCTGAGGGGGTCAGTGGGAGGAGGCAGGCAGGCATGCGGATGCAGCGATGATTGCAAGACACCTGATGCATGGTGTGTGGTGCGTGGTGCATGGTACACAGCAGACAAGCATGGTACACAGCAGAAAAGCATGGTACACAGCAGAAAAGCATGGTACACAGCAGAAAAGCATGGTACACAGCAGAAAGCATGGTGAAGAAATGCACATGAAGCAGCAAGACCTACCCACGATGGCCCCGTGCTGCTTCGTGCTCATCTCCTGTGCCCCACATAAACCGAATCCAAGGCGACATTTGAGTGACTTTTGAGTCGACTCAAAAGTCACCTGCTTGGTGCTCAACTCCTGAGCCCCACATAAACTGAAACCAAGGCACACTCACTCTCAGCTCCTTGGCAATGCGGATGGCCGCCTTGGCTTGATGATCCTGCGGTCACATGGCGCATGGGATGGTGACATGGCGCATGGGATGGTGACATGGCGCATGGGATGGTGACATGGCGCATGGGATGGTGACATGGCGCATGGGATGGTGACATGGCAACAAGGGATGGTGACATGGCGCATGGGATGTTGGCTAGGAGGATGTCAGCAGACAACACGCAGATGTCTCAACGGATGACAGAGAACACAACGAAGAACATTCTAGTTTGCTTCTATTGTGTGGTTGTAGCTGCGATGCCGTGAACGAGGTTCATGGAAAGGTAATGCAGGTGCCGTGTCACCTCTCCACATGCACACCTCTCCGCATGCACACCTCTCTAATGCGCTGCACTGCACTGAACCGTGGAAAGGTGGCAGCACAACATACATCCACTGTGAATCTGCTAGTCTCAAAACCCCCCAGGTACCCTTTTGCACACTACCTGACTGCGCTGGCCAGTGGGTGGGAAGATGGGCGCATTGTACACATCCACCTTGGGTTGTTTAGGCACCTCAGATCAGACCATACTTGTTTGCAGCCGCCTAGAAAATCCCCAGGTACCCCAATGCACCTTGCCTGCACTGCACTGACCCGAGGGAAAATGGCCGCATTGTACACATCCACTATGAACACGTCGGCTGGGAGGGGTGCAGAGGGGTGCAGAGGAAGGCAGGGAGATGGGGGAGAGGAGGGCAGAGGGGGAAGATGGCCGCATTGTACACAATAACGTCCTCTGGGAGGGGGAGAGAGGGGCAGAGGGAAGCAGAGAGGGGGGGGGGGATGGGGGGGAGAAGAGAAGAAGGGCGGAGAGGCGCAATAGGGAACGAGAGGCAGGATGGAGCATGAAGGGACGGATGAAACAATGACTGGTGTAGAAAAACAGATTAGGGTAGATTTGAGCAGTTCTAAAGGTGAAAGCAGCGGAGCCTCATGAGGGGCACTTGGCAGAACGAGAGAGTGGTTCTCTATCTTTCAACTTTCCATGCCCATCCAACCCACGTGCCATGCCGCCCCATTCCACTCGCCCGGTGCTGCCCAAGCCTAACTCATGGCACCCATCCCCCATCCCCCATCACCCATCCCCCATCCCCCATCCCCCATCACCCATCCCCCATCCCCCATCCCCCATCCCCCATCCCCCATCCCCCATCACCCATCCCCCATCCCCCATCCCCCATCCCCCATCCCCCATCACCCATCCCCCATCCCCCATCCCCCATCACCCATCCCCCATCCCCCATCACCCATCACCCATCACCCATCACCCGTCGCCCATCCCCCATCCTCCATCACCCATCCCCCATCCCCCATTCCCCATCACCCATCCCCCATCCCCCATCCCCCATCACCCATCACCCATCACCCATCCCCCATCACCCATCACCCATCCCATCCCCATCACCCATCCCCCATCCCCCATCCCCCATCACCCATCCCCCATCACCCATCCCCCATCACCCATCCCCCATCCCCCATCCCCCATCCCCCATCCCCCATCCCCCATCACCCATCCCCCATCACCCATCCCCAGTCCCCCATCCCCATCCCCCATGACCCATGACCCATCCCCCATCCCCCGTCACCCATCACCCATCGCCCATTCTCTCCTCGCCTTCCTCGCACCATCACCCATAGCCCATGCTTGCCGTCACAGATTGCCCACTGCCCATCACCTCTCACCATCTCCCTCCCAGTCGGTCTCATGCCCATTGCCCTGATGTGCGTCGAGATCCACTATGAGCACTCTGGCGGGGCGGGGAAGGTAAGTGGTGGGGAAAGGGAGGGTGGAGAGGGAGGGAGGGAGGAGGGCATGAAACAGGTGACGCTGATCTGAAGTGCGTCCAGATCCACTATGAGCACTCTGGCGGGGCGGGGAAGGTAAGTGGTGGGGAAAGGGAGGGTGGAGAGGGAGGGAGGGAGGAGGGCATGAAACAGGTGACGCTGATCTGATGTGCGTCCAGATCCACTATGAGCACTCTGGCGGGGCGGGGAGGGCAAGGAGGGCGAGGAGGGCAGATGAGGGCAGAGGAGGGCGGGTGGTGGGGTGGGGGGGGAATGAGGGAGAGCGGAGCGGATGAAGCAAGTGACTCTTGTGAAGATTGTGAATTGAACAAGTTGCTTCATTAGAGGAGAAACCTAGCATACATAGTTTGAAGAGAAGGTTGGAAGAGAAGGGTGAAGGTGACCAAAGGTTGGGTTGGCCTCACTTGGGGGAGTGAGGCCACCATAGGTCAAGTGGGTTGGGTTGCCCACACTTTGTAGAAGTGAGGCAACCCTAGGCCCACTTGGCTTGAGGTGACCTCACTTGTGGAAGTGAGGCACCCATAAGTCAAGTGGGTTGCATTTGGGGGCTCCACCACAATTGGGTGGATTGGCACCCCAAAGTGCAAGACTACACCCAAAGTTGGGTGTAGTCCCAACCCAACTGTACACCACAATTGGTGTACAGTCACATGTGTTGGCATGCTACACAATATATATTTTAACAACTCTGATGTGCGTTCATATCCACTATCAGCAGTCTGACAGGGTGAGGAAGGCGAGGAGGGGCAAGAAGGGCGAAGAGGGGCGAGGCGGGGCGAGGAGGGGCGAGGAGGGGCGAGGAGGGGCGAGGAGGGGCAGTGATGGGGAGTGAAACAGGTGACTCTGATGTGATGAGCGTCCTCGTCCACTATCAGCCCGCTGGCGGGGCGAGGTGCTGAAGGAGGGACGGTAGTTTGGGAGGAGAGTGACAGGAGGGTGGAGGAAATGAATCAGGTGACCCTTTGTGTCTGCTCAATTCTGAGATGCGGCAAACAGAGAGCTGAATTGGAACCTAGATGGGATTTCGGATGTGATATATGAAGCCAGCGATTTTGACAGTCTACCTAGATGCTTCAGCGCACAACGCCCCACACAGCAGTGAGACAGCATTGTCCCACTCCGTCTTGGCCCTCAAGAATGTACATCTTGAATCTCAGAAGCTCACTCCCAGAAACGCACCTCCTGACTCCCAATCACCCCGTGACAGCAAGAGAAGCCCATGTCTGCATTGTGGCATGGCATGCATGAGACAGCATCCAATCAGCGACACACCATCCTCATATGCCTCACCTCCCGACTCCCAGCAACGCGCGGGCAAAGGTGATGATGGCGGAGATGTCAGCGCGGGCACAGAAGCCCATGCCTGTGTGGCGGACGGCATGCATGAGACAGCGTCCAGTCAATTGCACACCTTATCACTCCCAAAGACGCACCTCCTGGCTCCTCCCAGGAACACACCTCCTGACTGCCAGGAACACACCTCCTGACACCTAAGAAGGCGCGGGCGAATACGATGATGGCGGAGATGTCAGCGCAGGCACAGAAGCCCATGCCTGTGTGGCGGCTGCAGTGGTGCAGCCCCCCTCCCACGTTCACCGCTGCTCCCCTCTCCACTGCCAGCTTCGCTGCCAGCACACTGCCCCCCACCTGCTGGGAGAGAAGGCAAGGAGAGGGTGAGAGTGGTGGAGAGAGGAGGAGAGAGGACGACACGGGAGGGAAGAGGAGGAGAGTAAGGAAAGGATATCTTGTGCTGCTCTTCTCTCCACTGAAAGCTTGCCCACCAAAACAATTTCCCCAACTGCTCGGAGAGGAGGCAAGAAGAGGAAAGGAAAGGAGATGGTAACGGAGAGATGGTAAGGAAAGGAGATGGTGCTGCGCCCCTCTCCACTGGTAGCTTTGGTGCCAGCACACTGCCCCCCAACCCCACCCCCACCCCCACCCCAAACCCCCACCATCTCCACCACCATATCACCATCACCATCACCATCACCATCACCATCACCATCACCATCACCATCACCACCATCACCATCACCATCACCATCACCATCACCATCACCATCACCATCACCATCACCATCACCATCACCATCACCATCACCACCACCATGACCATCACCATCACCATCACCATCACCATCACCATCACCATCACCATCACCATCACCACCACCACCACCATCACCATCACCATCACCACCATCACCATCACCATCACCACCATCACCACCACCATCACCATCACCATCACCATCACCACCACCATCACCATCACCATCACCATCACCATCACCACCACCATCACCATCACCATCACCATCACCACCACCATCACCATCACCACCACCATCACCATCACCACCACCATCACCATCACCACCATCACCATCACCACCATCACCATCATCACCATCACCAGCACCAGCACCATCACCTTGCCTGGTATCGGAAGGGGCGCACAACTCGATGCTGGAGGATGAAGTTGGGGAAGAGCGCCAGTGGGGGCAGCTGGAGGAGAGCAGGCACCGGTGAGGGGGAGAGAAGCAGGGTGGGGGAGAAGCGGGAGAAAGAGTGGAAGGAAGGAGATTAGGAGATTGAGGATTTGGAAGAAGCGGGAAACGTCTCCCACGTTTCCCAAGGCGGATTCAGGAAGATATCAATTCGCGCGCATGTCATGCAGCAACTCACACTCTCAAATCACATCCTTGACCCGAGACACAGATCAATCCAGTTGGCATGCAACACAAGAAAGCAAGCAAAGAAGCACCTTGACTCGCGTGACCAAACATCCGTCCCCCTCACGCATGAACCCCCGTCCCCATGGCACTCCCCCTCGCCTCCCAACTAGCACACTCCTCACCTCCCAACTAGCACACTGCTCACCTCCCAACTAGCACACTCCTCACCTCCCAGAGACCACACGCCTCACCTCCCCAATGGTGGCGAGATTGAAGCTGCTTCGCAGGCTGTCCAGGTACTCCTGAGAATGCACCTGCCGGGGCATGGCCGTATGGGAAGCATTCACGCAATGTGGAGAAAGGCCTCACTGAGAAGAGCATGGAGCAGCACGGAAGGTCAGTGACATGCTCACACGGCTGCCAAGGTACCTGATTGCAAGGCGGCATAAAAAAGGCATTCACGCAACGCGGAAAGGGGAGGCACTGGGAACAGGACGAACGACAACAGCATGAGGGGTGCTTTCTAAACACTGACGACGTTGAACAATCCGCAGTTGAGCAGCTCAACTGAGCTCGACACGACACCCCAGTCGCAGCAAGCTCGCACGCGGCCAAGTAGCTAGAGGCAAGAGCTCTTCTCGTAGTCTCTGCCCTTCTACTATGAGCCAAAAAACAGCTAGAGACACCCCAACCCAACCCAGCGGCATTTGAGACGTCTCAAAAAGCAGCTAGAGACACTCCAACCCAACCCAGCGGCAGCAGCGTTTTGTGAGCATGGGCAGGCCACCAGTTGATAGACGCGCACGCACCACATGGTGGTGGCATGCGGCCCTGGTGGTGGCATGCGGCCCTGGTGGTGCTGTGCTAGCCCATCAGACAGCAACGCAGGTGTAATAAAGGTGGGTAGCAGCAAGAGCAGCAGCAGCCAGTCACACTCACCAGCAGCAGGTCGTCGTTGGTGGCAGCCCTGGGGTGCACCACCTGGTGCGGCTGTATGCGCCCCTCTTCTATGAGAAAGTGCACTATGCGCCCCCACTTGCCCGAGTCAAAGGGATGCCTGATGGGCGAGACGGGGAGAGGGTGGGGAGGAGGCGGGAGTAGGGGGGCCCTGTGGTTTGATAAATTCAAGGCGTGTGAGTGAGTCACCTCTGAGAATCTTCAGAAGAGACTTGATTTCGGTGAGGATGAGATGAGGGGGGGTTGTGGAGGGATGCGGGATGCAATGCAAGGCGTGTGTGATTGGATGGAGTACTTACGAGAGTAAGACGATGCGTTCGAAGGAGGGAACGAGAAGGAGGAGAGGAGCGGAGAGAGGAAGTGGAGAGGATGAGAAAGGGAAGCAGTTGGAAAAGGTGCAAGGCAGGGAGTTTGTGACAGGGAAGATGGGCCAACGTGAGGAAGTGAAGGGCCTTTGCAGGGAACGGCGAAGAGGGGGTGGGGGGGGTGGGGTGGGAGGGGGAGGAGGAGGACAAGACAGAGGCAGCAGAGCATAGAACGAGGTGGGGAGGCAGAGGGAAAGGAAGGTAGGAATGGAGGAAAGAAAAACAAAGAAGAGGGTTGGAGGGAGGGTCGAGTCGAGGGGGGAGGGCTGGGAAAGAGAAGGAGCGAGGGGAGAGGAGAGAAGGCAAGTGCAGGGCCGTATGAGCCCCGTGGTGCGTGGGCTGGGCACGTGGGGCGGCCGGTGAGCGATGTGGTGGCAGCAGGACGAGGCGGACGCACTCACAGCTTCTCGATGCCAAATAGGCGCACGTTGTACTCGTCGCAGTACACCAGTGGGCTCTGTCGCGCACAGGGACAGTATAGGGCGGCACAGGGCGGCAGAGGGCGGCGGAGGGCGGCACAGAAGCAGCAGGGCCAAGAAGAGGGCAAAATGCTCATGCAGAGGAAGCACAAGTGACAAGCATACTGTGATGTGATGCTAAGATGCTCTTCACGCCAACACAACTAGGCCACATTATCCCACCCTGCCTCCCCCACAACCAATCCTGCCCCACCCACAACCGACCCTGCTTCGCCCACAACCCACCCTGCCCCTCTATTCCCAGCTACCCCCGCCTGACAACGGTCATGTGAACTGACCAGCTTCCGAGAAACAACGACCTTTATCCTCCATCGCCTCTCTTCCCATCCCCCCCTCCTCACCCCCCTCTCTCCAGCCCACCTCTCTCCTCCCTCCCCTCTTTCCTCGCCCCCATCTCTCTCCACCCCCCTCTCTCCTCACTCCCCTCTCTTCCCACTCCCCTCTTTCCTCGCCCCCCTCTCTCTCCACCCCACTCTCTCCTCTTCTCACTCTCCTCTTTCCACGCCCCCCTCTCTCTCCTCACTCCCCTCTCTTCTCACTCCCCTCTTTCCTCGCCCCCCTCTCTCTCCACCCCCCTCTCTCCTCACGCCCCTCTCTTCTCACTCCCAATTTCCTCGCCCCCCTTGCTTCCCACCCCCCCTTTTCCCCACCCCCTCTCTCCCCACGGACCCCTGTCCAGCAAACAGCAGGTTACACTCCTCCCCTCCCGTCTCCCCTCCGCCTCACCTTCTCGCCTCCCGACCCTCGCCTGCTCTTCCTCGTCGCTGCCCACACCTTGTTGTCCCCGACGTCAAACAGCAGCGCCGACTCGCCGCCGCGTCTCCTCACGCCCCTCTCCTCACGAACCCGTGTTCATCAAACACCAGCTTAGACCCCAACCCCCCTTTCACCTTCTCTCCTCCCTTGCTGCCCTCACCTTGTCGTCCCCGACATCAAACAGCAGTTCCGACTGTATCAATCGCCGCCGCGTCTCCTCATTTCCCCCCACACCATCGTTCCCCACGCCATCGTCCCCCGCCCTATCCCCCCCCACGCCATTGACGGCCTTCCCTCTTCCTCGTTCCGCCGCTTCTCCGCCCTCCGCGGCCGCTCCGCCAAGCGACGGCTCACTGTCGCTTGTTGTGCTTCTAACAGAACCCGCAGCACCCGCGCCGGCAGACATGCTAACGGCTAGCCGTCTGGCTCTCGAGCGCTGCGCTTTCCCGAAGGTGGAACAGGAAGAACGTGAGCGGTTGTTTCCGGATGAAGTAGAAATTTGACGGCTAGTAGCCGACTCTGTGCTTCCACCGGCGGTCGGGACTGCTCGATCTGGGCTAATGCGAGGAGGTGCAGTGTAACGGGGACAAACGAGAACTACGTGGCACTTGCGCGGCAGAGCATGAGCGGCTCGTAATGGGGGAGCTGCGGCAGTAACAGAGGGGTTAAGTGCGGTGGCAGCAGCACCGGAAGCAAGAGCTGACGCGGACGCGCGATGTGGCGCAATCATGTGAGTCAGGCGTGGCGGACCAGCGCGCAGCAATCCCCGCATTGCAAGGAGGAACGGGGGAGTAAAGTCGAGTCGGCGAATGTCTGAACACATGTAAAGCCTTACCGCACGTCTGAAATAGTTTTTTCCAGCATTCCTTACTGCGCATCTCAACATCGCGTATAGGACCGACTGTCTTCTGAGTTGTATGAAGAAGAGTGCGCAGGAATGCAATAACGCGGAAGTGATTACAACTACTCACTGAATAATGAAGTCTCGCACAAATATTGTTGGAATAACCGAAAGGTTATCACAAGCATTCCCGAAGGCTCTCCGCTATCGCGTCTCCTCATAGCGAAGCAGACGCCTATACCAGTACCGCATGAGCTCATATAGAGCACGCGGAAGATCGAGGGTCACCCGAAGGTCAACAGTCGAAGACAGTCAACGGTCGTGACCCTTGACTGCCCAGTAACCGCACAAGGCAGTTACGAAATGCAACATGGTAACTGTCTAGAATGGCAATAGTCGTGGGTTACTGTAGCAATGCAATTCAGTTAATAAGGGAATGTACCCCTCAGAGTACATGGCTAGCTAGGCTTGCTATTTATACTCTTGTACTTCTATCTTATAATCATCTTGTTCTCTTTCAATTTATTGACAAGGTCATTACAGAGACTTCACAGTTCTCTCCCTTATACTTGGCAACCTTATCCTATCCACTACGATTCTTACGGTAGTTATAACATCATGGTATGAGAGCTAGAGTGGATTATAAGGCCTGCTAAGTTCTTGTTCTTGCTAGAACAAACTCCTTATAAATTATTCTTTACATCATCAAAGACTCTGCATCACTATGGCTCCAGAAGGGAAAGCCACTGCAGAATCTCCGGACCCACCATCAGCAACACCCACTGCACCATCTGCGGTGACCTCCATCAGCGCCGCTCTCGTTGAGCAGCTGGTCGCCCGCATCAATGCTCTTGAAAGCCATCAAGCCATGAGCATCGATGGCTCAAGCTTCGCACGTGGGGTTGCTGGACTTCCTCTCCCAGGAGAAGACCGTCGCGTCAACTCTGAGAGATCATTCACGTTTGACAACCGTCAAGCTTCAGCTCCTGCGCAAGACAGTCAACAGCGCGCACACGCAGATACGATTGCAACAATACATACAAAATTCGTTCTGACATCAAAGCTGAAGACATCAGTTCCTTTCGACGGAAAGGACTTCTACACTTGGAGCTTCGAGTTTGAGCTCCTCGCTACAAATGCGCAAATCTGGATGTACTACGACGGGAGCTTACCATTTCCAATGGAAGGCACCATCCAAGAGAAGAACCAATACTACCACGAATCTCTTCTCGCGTACACCACTCTGCTCCGAAATCTCTCCCCCGACGAACAGCTCGGCATTCGCTCCTACAAATCAGAGTGGGCACCCGCGTATGCCTCCTGGGAGCACCTGCGCAACTCATACATGGCAACAGATCCAGTTACTATGAGTCGCCTTCTCAGCCAGCTCACATCGGTCAAAATGCATCAAGGGGAGAAAGCGGGACCGTATATCAACCGATGCCGCAATCTGCGCGACCACATCAAGAAGTGCGGCGGATCAGTCCCAGACGACATGTTCGTCTCAATGGTCCTCTCCGGCCTCGGACCCGACTGGCGTCAATGCCAATCTCTGCTCCGTGCTCGAGCAACTGTCTCCGAATCGGCCCTGTGCGCCACACTTCTCTCCGAGAAAAAGGAGATTGACCTGTACAACGAGAAGAACACCAAGCGTGAGAAATTAGTCTTCTACGGCGGAGCAACCGAAGGGGAGCAGCACGGAAAGAAAGGAACTTTCTGCAAGTACTGCAAGAAGCCTGGGCACACTATTGATCGGTGCTACAAGCGAAAAGCAGCCGACGAAAGGCGCAATAATCCCTCAAACCCTTCTACGACTTCCGCCGCAACAACCACCGTCTCGCCTCCCTCCGTCGCAAGCACCTCGCAGACACCTGCACGCATTACAACCAAGGACAAAGGCAAGGGGACAATCATGAGCTGCATGGCTCGTCGCAACAGAGGCTTTCGATACTATGATCGAGTAACATTCGCACTTGATGACCCTATCAACCCTGTTGCGCCCAGGCAGGACAACGCCCCCACTGCCCTTACCTGGACTAACTCACCACAGAGGCACCCACCTGATTTCGAGCTGCCACCGCCGACACCGGAATCGCCTCCCAGCATTTCGGCAAACCGATACTTCGCTCTCTCGCCATACACCGGCGAAATGGATCGCGTGGTCACGCCGAAAATCGCCAACATCGCGCGACAGAGTCGCGAAACCATTAACACCTGGTACCTGGACAGTTGCTGCGGACAGCACATGGTGGGATCGCCAACATTCATCAGCAACTCCAAACGCATGCGCCGACCCTGCGAGATCACGGTGGCAAACAACGGCACGCTCAAGGCATATGACATCGGTGAAATATTCCTTGAAGCTGATGACACAAGATTCACGATTCACATTGGTGACGTGCTTGTCGCTCCAGATCTGCGGTACAACCTGCTTTCCTCGGCGCAGCTCATGCGATGCGGTGTTGACATTCGAAGCAACCGCAAAGACAAAACCTTCGAACTCTTCTATAACAACACTTACATCGGCAAGGCGATTGATGACGACGGTGTTTTTGTGCTGCAGTTCTTGGCGCAAGGCACCACCGGCGACTCCCACCGCACCTTACTGCTGAAGACGACCACCTCAGAAACACCGACTTGGTCGCATCCCACGGAAATGGATCTCGAGCGCCCCGCCTCGGACGGCCTTCTACGACTACGCACCGTTCCGACTGCCTCATCTTCCAACCCAGCTGAGATTGGACCTGCATCAATGGAAGAAGACAGCGGCATGTCAGCATCTGTGGAACCAGTCACTGAAGAAGGCGAGAAGACTGGAACTCGATCAGGCAGTCCCGGCCCTGCACTCGGTCCCTTGGGAGAAGTCCTGACGCCAGAAGAAGCAGCGACAGAAGGACGGGACACCATCTCGGCATCTGAAGGCACCGCCACTGCTCCAACAGATGCCGGCGCTGGGGACTGGGGAACTGGTGGCGGCTGGGGAACCGGGGGAACTGGAGGCGGATGGGGAACTTCAACAAGCGAAGAAGGCTGGGGTCAAGCTGCTCCTGCCTATCCCGAAGCTCCGGGACTCCCTTCAGCGGAAACCGCGGCAATCGATCCCTACTGGGCAACGCGCGGCACCAGCTGGGACGGACCTCCTCTCCCCGATCAATACGCTCCTGACACACCAGAACCCATGCAAGAAGAGTCAGAGGAGGAAGAAACATATGAATTCTTCCGAGAAGCAGCAGAACTACCAGCACCTACCGAGGAGCCGGCGCCGCCAGAACAAGGACCACAAGAAATTGAAGTCATCGGGACCGAGTACAGCTACTTCCGCATTCCCATGAAGGGATTACCAGTCCGCGACTGGCCCAACCAGTGCCTGCTTGTTACCGGAGACCAAGTCGAAGCCGGCGACACCGACGACATCATCGGTATTCCTCACGCGCTCCTTGAACGAAAGTCAATTCACGCGCTCGCCGCCGACACCGACGACGCCGCCGATGCAGGACCTGAAGGGGAGGCAAACGACGAAGCAGCAAGGCACAAATATTATCAGAAAACGGTCGGCTACCGTGCGGAACCAGCAATTTGGCATCAGCGACTCGGGCACCCCTCACATGCAACCCTCAAGAACTCCCTGCAAGCTGGCGTTTTCGACGACGGAGCACTGCTTCTTCCCCGTGAAGGCTCCCTCACCGTAAACTCCGACAACCCGCCATGCACCGTGTGCCCTACTGCGTCACTCGCCCACAAGCTCTTTCCCGATCTACCGCCGGGCTACGAACGCTACAAACCACTCGAAAAGGTCTACAGCGATTTTATGTGCTTGACGCAGGAAGGACTCGATGGCGAATACTATACGCTGACCTTCATCGACGCAAGCACTCGCTACGTCTGGGCTGTCAATACCGACTGCAGATCACTCGCCTTCGAATGCTTCGTCGCGTGGATGAAGCGGGCTGAACGACAATCGGGACTTAAGTTAAAAAGCTGGCAGACGGACGGAGCTCTGGAGTTCTTCTCAGACGAATTCAAGGAGCTCTTCAGACAGAAAGGGATTGAACATCTGGTGTCCCTGCCCTACGCTCACGAGCAGCAAGGAGTAGCAGAACGGACAAACAGGAGCCTCGCCACCAGGATGAGGGCCCTGATGAAGCAGTCGGCCATCCCAACTCGTTACTGGCCATTCGCCATGAACCATGCAGTCCGGCTGCACAACTTGCTATCATCCCGAAGCCTCGAGAACAACAACTCCCCCTACAGGGCGTGGACGGGCAGAAAGGCAGACGCGCATCTGCTTCGGGTGTTTGGCTGCATGGTACAGTACAGACCACACACAGCAAGGACCGGAAAGTTTGCTGACCGGGCTCGCTGGGGCATCCACCTCGGAATCGAAAAGGAATTCAAGGCGTGGATCGTGCTGGACTACGCGACACACGAAGTGACGAAATCACGT